GCATTTCCCTGATGATTAGAGATGTTGAGCATTTTTTCATATGTTTGTTGGCCATTAGTCTGTCTTCTTTTGAAAAGTTTCTGTTCATGCCCTTTGCCCACTTTTTATTGGGGTTGTTTAATTTTATCTTGCTGATTTTCCTGAGTTCTATATAGATTCTAGTTATCAACTAATTATCAGATGTGTAACAAGCGAATATTTTCTCCCATTCTGTAGGTTGTCTGTTTGCTCTTGTGATAGTTTCCTTGGCTGTGCAGAAGATTTTTAATTTGATCAGGTCTGATTTATTTATTTTTGTTGTTGCTGTGATTGCTTTTGGGATCTTCTTCATAAATTCATTCCATAGGCCAATGTCTATAAGAGTTTTCCCAACATTTTCTTCTAGAATTCTTATAATTTCTTGCCTTAGATTTAAGTCTGTTATCCACTGTGAGTTAATTTTTGTGAGAGGTGAGAGGTAGAGATCCTGTTTCAGTCTTCTCTACATGTGGCTATCCAATGTCCCTGGCACCATTTATTGAGTAAGGATTCTTTTCCTCAGTGTATATTTTTGTTTGCTTTGTCAAAGATTAGTTGGCTATATGAAGATGGCTTTATTTGTGGGTTGTCAGTTCTGTTCCTTCAGTGTATGTCTCTGTTCTTGTGCCATTACCATGCTGTTTTAGTTACTATAGGCTTGTAGTATAGCTTGAAGTCTGGTAAATTGTTGCTTCCTAATTTGTTCTTTTTGCTTAAGATTCCTTCTGCTATATTGGGTCTTCTCTGGTTCCATATGAAGCGTAGAATCATTTTTTTAGATCTGTGAAAAATGATGTTGGCATTTTAATAGGGTTGCATTAAATCTGTAGATCACTTTGGGTAGTATAGACATTTTAACAATGTTGATTCTGCCAATCCATAAACATGGTATGGTTTTCCACCTGTTTATGTCATCAAAGGCTTTTTGAAAAATATCTAATCAGCATACTTTTATCCACATGCATGCTTACTCTCTTCAAACTCCCAAAACCAACATAATGTTTCCTTATATGGAGATTAATATTGCTTTTAAAATAATTTATACCCAAATATTTATTGGTCTGTTACCATCTTTTGTTTTTGACTATGTAGGAAATCTTCCTGACTTCTGGTAATAGTACCCTGATTTTTTAAAATTACTCATTAATTATTTTCAGTCCTCATGTCTCATTTGGGTATTCTGTACTTTAAAGTGTCACAATAATTGGGTCTTGAGTGTGTATATTACTCAGACTGGGCTAATCAGAGTAAAAAGATGTGAGCCTAACAACTTTTACATGAATTGTGGGGAGAGACAATCTCTTTTTTTTAAGGGGCTTATTAACTACTAAGACTCATACCTGGACCTACTTGTGACTCTCTGTCCACTATGAGGATTTAATTTAAATGCGAATACTCCAGACCACAAAAAAGAATTTCTGAAAATTAAAGATAAAATGAAAATATTACTCATATTATTCAAGCACCCACATACAACCTTAATTGAAGTTCAACCTCCAGAACTTCCCTTTTTTGTTTAAACTGGTTGGGTTTCTGACATTTGCAAGCAAAATGGTTTTTTGACTTATATATGCAATTGTCTAGCATCTTCTGGATTAGCAAGGGGATGTGAATATATGCTCTCTTTCTGTTTCCCTTCCACTCTCTGTTTCTGTAAAATTTTCGATTTGATAAGAGTTGTATAGAGCTATTTTCTTCTTCACTCACTTGACATCAAATTAGTATAATCAAAGATTATTGAATAAATCTACTTTATGATAAAAAATTATTTCTGAGCTCCATGATGGCAAGAAATAAAAATTATTTTAACAATTAATTATTTGCTATGTACTAGTTTCGAGCTTCATGAAAGGGAGGTAGCAGTAGTATATCAGGAAAAAGAACAGAATTTGGAATTAATACACATGAGTTAGAAATCTGGCTGCACCATTTATTAGCAGTGAGACCAGGAAGAATCATTTGTTCTTCATACATATCCTTTCTTTAGTTTTAAAATTGGATTTTAAGTTTATATTTCTAATACTGGAAACCTAATTGAGCTACTGTGGGAATCAAATTAAATAGCATTTATGAAGTCAATTTATAATGTTTTTAAAAATCACTATTATTATTACCATCATGCCATCGTGTAGGCCCCAGATGAACTGCATTTGCTTTACTAGGGAGCTTGTTAAGAATGCAGGTTCTCAGACCCCACCACACTGAGTAAGGCATTTTGAGAGTGAATCTGAGGAATCTGTGTTTTAAGAAGCTCACCAGGGAACACTTGTGAGAGTTATAGCTTGAAAACAGTGACTTTAAAGCTACCATGTGAATAAAGGAAGCAAATCACCTGGGTATCTGTCTATGTTGGTGAGCAGTACTTAATTACCTATAAGAAGCCCACATACCAGTAACCTTCTGATCTAGCCACAAAGATAAAACAGACACATATTTTTAATATTCAATACATAAGATAAAGGTAAGTGAGATATAATAGCACACTATATAATTATCAAAGAAATGATACACTATAAGGGATATGAAATTAAGAAGAAAGGATCACTGTGCACTGCAGTTTTCTCATAGGAACATTTAGTTTGCAAATAATTTCTCCAAAGTATGAATAGAATTTGAGGAAGTTAAGTGAATGAGAAGAATTCCAGATGAAGGAATTATGGTGCAAATAATATAGATGGGCAAGGCCAAAAGTGGGTTCAGTGACCCACTTTGGCTATGACCACTATGACCACACTCTAGTCATAGTCACTGTAGAATGCTTTGGAGTAGAAACACACACACACACACACAAGAAAGGAGCCTTGGATAAGCTAAAAATGGCTTTTGGTGACAACCAAAATTGAGACTTGATATTTTTAGCAGTGAGGAATGTATAAGGGGAGAATGAAATAGTGAAAGCAACAACATTTATACCACAATGGTTAAAAGGATGATTCAAAGAATTTTTCCTTGATTTAAATGCCAAACTACTACTTGTGTAAATTTAACAGAAATGTAACTACTTTATATCAAATATGGTCAGTGGAAATATATTTACAATATATATTGTAAATAGATTACAGTAGATTAGAGCTCAGCTGCAATTACTGTGAGTAAAAGAAGAAAAGAAAAGAAAAAAAAAAACTAGCCAGTGGATTATAGCTAGTTTAAGCATAAAGAGAGTTACTATAGAGTCTTAAATGATCTTTGGAAGCATTGGCTGGACTGAAGAAAATAGTCTTTATACTGAGTTTTTAAAAATGATGTCAAGAGCCACACTGCAGAACTGGACCACTGTGGAAGTTACTGCTCCTGACACGTTCAGGGAGCCACTGACACAATGAGAAGTCACTGCTACGTCTCTCAGGTCCAGAATCACACCATCTCTGCTACAGTTTACAGTGGAAAAATGGTCTGTATCTCTCGACTTCACTCAGTTCTGGTTCAAGTTTTGCATGAATGCATGTGAACAAGGTATAAATGGCGTCTGAAACCTTGGCTGGAATCGGGTCTGGGGAATATGATGTTTAGCTTGCTCACCTGTGAGCCCAGGAAGGCATGTTGGAAAGAGGTCAGAATAAATGTTGAAGGAGCCAATCCACATTATCACCTGCGAACTTCTAGGATGACCATGAGGATTAGATTTGATTCTCTGTGTCGAGCCTTCAACATGATGTCTAATGTACAGTAAATGTTCAGCAAATGGTAGCTTATGAGAGATTTTAGGATAATGGATTTGAATAAAGAGAAAAAAAAAAACCAAGGCAGCCATTTATAAGACAATTTCTGCAGTTAAGAATAGAGGAAATCGGCTGGGCGCTGTGGCTCACGCCTGTAATCCTAACACTCTGGGAGGCCAAGGCGGGCGAATTGCTCGAGGTCAGGAGTTCGAAACCAGCCTGAGCAAGAGCAAGACCCCATCTCTACTATAAATAGAAAGAAATTAATTGGCCAACTAATATATATAGAAAAAATTAGCCGGGCATGGTGGCGCATGCCTGTAGTCCCAGCTACTCGGGAGGCTGAGGCAGAAGGATGGCTTCAGCCCAGGAGTCTGAGGTTGCTGTGAGCTAAGCCGATGCCACGGCACTCTAGCCTGGGCAACAAAGCGAGACTCTGTCTCAAAAAAAAAAAAAAAAAAAAAAAAAGAATAGAGGAAATAATGGCACAGAATGAAAATGAAGATTGTGTATATGAACAAATGAATTGATGTTTGTGTTATTTCAAAGGCATCATGGACAGGATTCCATGGCAGAATGTGACTGATAGTTTCAACATTGATTGTTCAGATTGCTAGTGATTTTCAGTAGGAGGCTTGTATTATTTCAAGATGCATACTGGAAAGGGAGTCAAATCCGTTTCAAACAGCAAAATCAGTTGTCTATAGCTTTCTTGTGTTCTTTGATCCAAACATTGCTAGGGTGGACATCTGAAAAGTTTGTGGCAATTTGGCATCTCTCTGAAAAAGTACATCTCAATAAATGTGTTCTAGATGGCTCTTATGTAATGTTTGAGAACCTAAATAGATATTTACCTAGATTCAGAAATGAAATTAATATGTTTTTTTATTTCATAAGCTCAAAATGTCTCCATTTCAAGGCAGAAGTGAAAGTGCCTTAGGCCTGTTTTTTGCAAGGCATTTATTTTTCTGAAATATTATTACTAGCAAGACCAAAAAATGTGTTTAATTCAAATGCTCAGTAGCATATCCAGCTTAACTATGTTCTGAACTCTTCCAGGAAGCCTGCAAAAAATAGGTGTTTTTTGTTTTTACAGTTTACAATGGGGAAGCAATCATTCACTTAGCACCTAGCTCACGTACTTAGTACATGAATAATGGCCCTTTTCTCTGATCTCTAGTCAGGGTTTCTGGATCTCAATCTTCGGCTGGCTTCTATTTATAGTTTTTTAAATAAATCTTTCTCTTGTTCACATACAAACAAAGCAGGCTAGTTAGTTTAACTAATGTCTTTTACTGATCACTGATTTCCTTCTGCTTCCAGGATTGTTTATCTAGCACAAAGTGACTCTGCATTTGAGTACCCAGACTGGCCATTGCAGGATGCTGATTCCTCAGGGAGTAAGTGTATTCAAGACTTTTATTTAGATCACTCTAACCTCTAAACCCCTGAGTACGTATCCCAGATTAGAGGAATAATATACCTTTTCTCTTAAGAACATTCGCTTTAAAAGCAATGAGAAGTGAGTTTTCCATTTCTATACATGTTTTCTCTTGTACATGGGAAAATGCAGTTGGATTAGTTTAATGATATTATGTGGAAGAGAAGAAAATATTTACATTGCACCAATGTAGTTAGAGAAAGACATAAAAATATAATATAAATAAGAAAATTGACATTTATTGAGCCCTTCCTACGTGCCAGGTATCGTGGGAGCAGTTTCCATGTATTGTCCCAATTATTCCTTTTAACAACCATGCATGTTCAAGACTATTATCTCCATTTTAAAGATAAGCAAACTGAAGGTTAGAGAGATAAGAAACTAGCCCAATGTTGCATGCATATAGCTAGGAGGAGCAATCTAGGTATTCAAACCATGCAGCCTGATCCCAGGGGAAGTGTGTGTGTGTGTGTGTGTGTGTGTGTGTGTGTGTGAGATGTGGAATATGATCTTAATTTCTTAATGCCAATATGAAATTGATTCACTAAGCAGTTTCTCAGAGAAAGCAAGTACTAAAAGTCACAACAGATGGAGTGCTAGTTTGTTGTTTTCTTCTGCCCTTTGGATGTTTCAAACTGCTGTTTCCTGCTTCAAAATATCAGTTTGGAAAGTCAAAGTCAGAAAAAGTAGAAGAGAAAGAACAGAAGCATAAGGGGCAAACCTATCAGAAAGACACATTTAGGATATTCTTCAATAAGACAAAGAAAAAGGAATAATGCTTATTTCTAAACTACTTTTTAAAGAACAAGGGTTTTAAGGAAAAAGATTTGTCTATCCCATTCTTCATGCAGAATTTTTGTAATGTATATTGTAATGTCTGTGTGTCACATACATTGACATTACTGGCATATGCAGAATCCAGGGACTCAACTGTCAGTTCTTCACTTTTCTTTCTTTCCATGTTTAATCACATGTAGTGAGTTTGTCGCCAATGAAATGCCCACCCCGAACCTTTGGCCTAGTGGAGCAGTTCCCAGCATGGTCAGCACTCCTCAAAGTCGCATGGACACTGAAGACAGCGAGACACATGAGCTGCCAGCCTGCATCCTAAGCATCATCCCGCCAAACCGTTCTCATCAATTCTAGTGGCCACTAATGGAGAAGGTATCTATGCAACTTCCCTTTGGTGTTTTGCCATACCCAGGTTTTACAATAGCTTATGCAGCTTAGCAAGCTAAAGGCTTTGCCTGATTAAATCCTAGGCTTCTTTTTTGTCTCTCTTTGGCCCAACTTATGACAGTGAAACCAGCCTTAAGGGCCCAGCTGGCAAGGTGCACCCCCAGTGATTTATGCAGTGTCACTTTCTTGATGATTAACCTGAATAAATCATGCTGGTATTTTCAGCAGTGATATAGCTGCCCTTTACATTCTTATCAATTTTCAGGACAAGAAGAAATTAGCCTGGTCCTCCCATTGATCTTGTGAGGAAAACTGTACCTCACAGCAGGGGTTCAACTAATAAACAATGAGCATTGCAAATAACTTACCGGTTTACTTTTAATCAATAAAGTTTCTCACGATACATTATTCCAGCAATCGGCCTAAATCACTGTGCCTATAACTGTTGTTTTCAAAACCTTTTAATCTAATTGGAAAATCTTCCTTTGTACTAGTAATAAACACTCACTAAACTGTCTGCACCTAATTGAGCTACAGTAATTTATGGGAGCTCCCCACTGTGTCTCCCCTCTTTAATCAGACAGACTGCTTTATGTCCTTAACTAATGAATTCTAAGAATCCACCCAGTAGATCTGATCGAATGTCACCAGTGAATAAATCTTCATTAACACTGGCAGGTTCCAAACCTGGTCTCCATCTTGATTTAATTATTGTCTCGCAACTGTACTCGCGTCAGGTTTTCTCCGTTTCTTCACGTAATGCCTCCATTACCAGGTGTCCTCCCACGGCACAGCCCCCTGGCAGCCAGAGTCTCTGCCGGCCCTAGCAGCGGACCCGCAGCTGACTCGCTGTCCTAGCCAAGACCATGTCTCCGGGTTGCGGGCACCGCAATCGCTGTTTCAGCCTCCTCTGCAACCTTTTCTGCTGTTTTTTTGTTGGTGTAAAAACACGCTTCTGTCATTTTACTCAGGGCATTTTCAAACCCTGGTAAATTAACTTATGCTACCCAAAGTCAGAAAGGAACACCAGATACACCAGAATCCTGTTAAGAGGCATAAAAGATCCCCACAGTGGTTCTTTATCCCAGCAGGAAAGTTTTCTTTGGGAAATCAGGTGGATGCCATTGCATGTGTTTGTTCACACTGAGGTCAGAGTAAATGGAGTTCGATGCCACTAAGTTTGGAAGAGTGTCACAAGCTGACGCCAGTAACCAGCCCCGTACGTTGAGGGGACTCCATTCCTGTGTTCAGAGTGAACTGATGGAACACTTACTTCCCTGCACCGTTTCCAGGAACACTGACGGAGGAGGTTTATAGTTCCTTTTTACCTGACCTGCTTCAATTTGAGACCATGCCCTTATGTTATCCTTTATATAGTTCCAAAAAAGTATGCCAACCCACAAATGACTTTATTGATTTGTTAAATTAATAAAACAGAAATAGATGTTGACACGCAGGAGCTGGATCAAAAGAGAAAGCAACAATATTCGCCACAAATTTAGTTTAATTGCTAGTTAACAAATATGTATGCAGTATTTACTGTATACCAGATACTCTTCTAGACACTTTGCAAATTTTAATCCTCCAACCAACCCCGAAAGATTTCTCTTATTAAAAAATCTTATTTTCCAGATAAGAGAACAGAGGCACAGAGAGATGAAGTATCTAAAGTCACACAGCTAACGAGTGGCATGACTGGGATTGGGTCCAGGTAGACAGGCTTTGGAGTTAATGCTTTTTCCTCTAAACTATGCTCCCTTTTCACACAACTGAACACGTGACTTGATTCTGAATCCTAGAGTATAGGGCAAAGATGGAACATGATGATACGTCAGGGTATCCTGCTATTAAATTATAAAAATATGTTCTAGCACTTATTCCAGAGAACCCTAGTCTCTCACAATGACCCTTAGAAAAGGAATGCCATAGTTCAAGAACTTATGGACATTTATCCGTGTTATAACTCATTGGGAATTCATAAAGCACATTAGCATGCTAAAGGCTCTGAGAAGATGTACAATCAAGACATGAGTATAACTAGGTGTGATCTAGTATTTGCAGACCTACTTGATGGCAAAACAATTACTTTCTGGAAGATTCACTAAAATCTTGCAGAACTAATGACTCACTATGAATCACCTTTATAGAAAAGTCATATTAAAGTCTTGTTTAATGTGGGTCCTTAGAGGGACACTGAATAATCTTTTCAACATTTTTGTGATACAGATCCATAAAACAAATGCCAAACTGGGTTTTACATGGTGTGGCTGTCATGAACTTTTTTTTTTTTAGCTTAATGGTTAGCACTTAAATAAAATATGTTAAAGATGGTCTTGAGGGAAGCTAGACAATATAACCTTCCTGTGGTCATCACATAGAATGAAGATGGCCTGTAGGAGCCACCTGCCACAATTTCCAAGCCTAGAGCTGATAAAATTTTTTAACATTGTTTCCCAACTGAGATTTTGGAAAACACTTACTGACATAGCTGTAAGTTATGTTTTAAAATGAGGTATGGGTATTTTATTTCAAAATACAGATTTTATTTCTATAACAGAGGTCATTTGTTCTCAGCATTGGGTTACTCCCCCCAAAATTTTATGTAGCCTTCTTTATTTGGGGCCTACAGTTAACTTTGCTATAGTCCCTGCTGTATGTCTTTGTAAAAAATTGGGGAAGTTCTTAACTTTTCCATTTCTGCTTGGGTATTTGTCAGCGGTTAAGAGCATGAGCATTAGAGTAGTCAGAATGTAGTTAGAAACCTAAAACATATTTCACATGGTTATTGTGATGATTCACTGACATAATGCTTGTTAAAGTACTCATTATGATATCAGCATTCCCAGTAGATGGTGTCCATTCCTAATGTTATAGCTTTAAACATTAGTTTGCATCAGAAATACTGGACAGCTTGTTAAAACACAGATTTCTGAGCCCATCCGCAGCGTTTGTGATTCATTAGCTCTGTAGTGAAGCTTGAGAGTCTGAATTTCTAATAACTTCCCAGGTGTTGCTGCTGTTTTGAGAGCCACATTGGAGGAATTGCTGCCACAGAGTCAATGACAAATATTCTGTACAACGGGAAGCTGTCAGAAGAATCCGTTGTACGAGGTAAAATTTTTTCAGAAGCATTTACCAGACTCATATTATCAGAGACATTTAAGAGAAGGTCCTCTTGGCAGTGATTATCTTACTTAGAGTCTGCTTAGTATATGATTTGTGAAGAGATACACAAAGGTCTTCAACCGTCCTGGCCTGGGAGGATTTCCGTCTTCCAAGCAGTACTCCATTCAAGGTGAATTCCAAGTAGCAATGTTTTGTTTCATTGCTGTTTTGCATCTCATTCCCTTGTTATGACATAATGGCCACCTGACACATTAGAGCCCATTTTCATTTTCTCGGGTCTGTCTTAATAGTGCAGTTAGGATGGCTCTCCGCTAACAGTTACCCAGTGAGAAGTAACACTCAGAGTCGCTGAAGGCCCCTGAGTGTGCAGCCTGGGCTAGAAACATCAAAAAGCTCATCTTCTCACCTGAAAGCAGATGGGAGCAGTGAGAGCAAATGGCAGACAGAAGGGGAAGAGACTTCATTACACCTTCTGTGTTAATATTGACCTGGGAAAAATACAATGATTTCAAAGATTGTTCTGATAGCTAACAATGTCTTCTTAATTGGAGGTAATGTCAAAAAGGTGGCTATTCCCCAAAATTCCCACTCACCCACCATCTGCTACTGATAAAGGGTTGGCAATTAAGGAGTGTTAAGAATAAGTTCTAATTATCTTCTTACCCCTGTATCCTGTTCCCTTGGTGCTCTCTGATAGCCTTAATTGAAGCCCACATGTGAATCATATCTTCTGCTGCAAGCCAACTCCTTTGCCTGAAAGTGCAGTAATCATCATAAATCCAGAATTGCCCTCTGGTATGTGTCTGATGTTTGAAACATAATTCTAAACTCTTCACCTTTTCTGTGGCTACTCATCTTATTTTACCCAAATTATTCTGAGTGTGGCATTGACAGCAGTTCCAAATTTAATTCCCAAGGAATGGTACTTTTTGATTGGCTTAATCCTCTTTGGTAAACATCATGGTGCAGTGGCAGTGGCAGCCTTTCTCAACAAGCCATGTGTATTGAAATTTACATGGTCATAATTCTAACAGTTATATTCTATCTTTCGAAAGTCATAGAAAAAAATTTTAGAATCACTACTTTCAATAGGGAGATTTTGCCTCTTGTCCTTTGGGTACTGCCAGTAGAAAATGGAAAAAGAAGAACAGTATTATTTTAGAAGTAATTTAGGACTGCTGAGTCTCTGGTCGTACAGGAGGAAGAGTTCGTTTGCTCTCTACTGCGAGATAAAGATGATGATTTTCAGACTCTATGTTGCTATGGTGTTTGGGGTGTGAGGTATTCACCTCGCTGCACTGACCTGGAAAAGTACAAAATAATTGTTTCACTGAGACCGTCATAAATATATCTCCACAAGTCGTGCCCAGAATCCACAGAAGATCCCAAAATGTCTGAGTTTATAAAATTTATTTATACCCAGCATCTGTTCACTTTCATCAGTAATTATTTTAGTAAAAATTGGAGAGCCAGATCCTGATAGTTTTCTACTTTATCACACAATCGAAAAATGCAGCAAAATGCAAGCAGTTATTCTTTGTGGAGCACTTATAGGAGCAAAACCATATGCTGTTCTTGTTTGGGATAATTGTAAATCTTTAAACATTTAAATGTAGTTGTCTTTAAAACTGGTATTAACTCCAAAACAAGTAATTTAATGTGAACAACTCAACACCTAGAATGTCAATGTGCAAAGAAGTTCATTAGGTTTATGCGTATGTTCATGCAAATAATTACAAATGCCGTTTATGTGCTTGCATGAATAATCAGGGTAGTCCTATAAATGAATACTTTTATACTTTTAAAATATTATACCAGGACTTGAAGCCCATTGAATTTTATAGTTAGAACTTCAAAATCATCTAGTTCAGTGGTTCTCAAACTTGACTATGCATTTCATGCTTTGGAGTTAAGCTGTATATACCTGAGCCCCACATTTGAGATTCTTATTCCCTGTGTCTTCAATAGAAACTTGGCATGTACAGTTCAAAGATCATTCTGATGGATACCTGTGTTCATTTCCTAGAGCTGTCATAACAAATTACTACAGACCGAATGGATTTAGACAATGGAAATTTATTCTCTCACAGTTCCAGAGGCTGGAAATACAATTCAAAGTGTTAGAAGAGTCATTCTCTCTCTCAAGGATCTAGGGAAGAATCCTTCCTTACATTTTTCCACCTTCTGGTGGTTACTGGCAAGCCTTGGCATTCCTTGACTTGCAGCTGCATCACTCCAGCCTCTACCTTTCTGTCACTGGGCTTCCTGCCTATGTGTTTGTGTCTCTATGTCTCTTCTTATAAGGAGACCAGTCATTGGATTTAGGGCCCATTCTAATCCAGAATGATGTAATCTTAACTTGATTATATAATCTCTCAAGAAACCCTATTTCCATATAACGGCACATTCACAAGTACCAAGGGATAGAATTTTTTAGGAGGAGAGAATGACACATTTTAATCCTCTATAGTGATCTAGTTCCTTTAAAATCTACTGACATTATTGAGCTTAAAATAAAGAACTTCAGCAACTTGTATGAGTTACCTATTTCTTCATAAGAAATCCCCCTCTAAATTAAAACAATAAACCTTTATTATTGGTTATTATCATTAATAGTTTCTGAGGATTAGGAATCTAGAAGCAGCTTAGTTGGTTGGTTCTTGCTCCAAGTCTCTTGTGAAGTTGTAGTAAATTATTATCTGGGGTTACAGTTGGCTGACAGTTGATCTTCCAACCCACTTAGTTTCTGACTCTCAGTTGGCTTTAGGCCTCAGTTTCTTGCCATGTCAGCCTTTCCGTAGGGATATTTTTGATATGGCAGTTAGCAAACACCAGAGTGAGTAATGTAAAATAGAAAAAGAGAGATCAACCAAGGCAGAAGCCTGTGTCTTTAGTAACCTAACCTTGAAGCTGATGTAACATCACTTCTTTCATATTTAATGAATCACACAGACCAACCCCAGCATGGTGTCAGTCTGTGTGCAATGCCAGGAGGCGCGCATCAATGAGGCCATCTTGGAAGTGAGCTACCATAAGTAGGGAGTCAGGAATTCTGACTTTAGGGCCAGAAGGCTAAATTATTTCACCTCAAGGAATAACCAAAGGGTTGGAGCCACTTGAGAACTTGGTAGAGATACTGGATATCAGGCTTCACCTCAAGCATACTGAATCAAAACCTATATTTTAATTGCATGCACATTATATTTTGAGAAACACTAGGCTAGAACAAATTACTAATTCAGATACATTGCCCTTTCAAAGTAATGGCTTTGAATGGTAACCTACCACAAAGAGCTTGCCATTGCTTGAAATCTGTTATGAATTTTGCTTCGGGCCAGAACATAAGACACACTGAGAAATCAGTATCTTCCCACCATGGCCACACCACCTTACTGAAATCATTACATTTTTCCCTTTGGTCATACTAATTTTACTCAACAGAGTTGACTCAAAGATTTTTATTTACTTTTAAGGCACTAGAAGTATATTTAAAGAATGAAAATCTATTCTATAGTAACGGCATTAAAAGTGTATTGCATCTTCCAAAGACCTTCCCCACATCACGATGCTGTTTTCAGGAATAGTGCCATGTATTAATATTTCTGGCCTCTTAATTTCTTCTTGAGAGAAAGTAATCATCTTGCCTTCAAATAATTTGAAGCCACTGGTGAACTGAGTCTAATTAAAAGGACAACAAAACTCAGACAAAAATAAAATTCAAATTGCATTAACAGGCCCCCATTCTAGCAGCCTGATGGAAAAAGGGACATGCACTTTTCTAGGTGATAAATTTTTATTTAGCATTACATTATTTTTGTTTTTTATGCACAATAACTTCAATGTGACCCAAACTTCTAATACACATTTAAAAAGCAAAAAAATGAAAGTATTGGCATATGGTCAAAAGAGGAAAGAGTTGATAAAATCAGATTCAGAGATGGCCTAGATGTTGGAATTTTCAGACAAAGGCTTTAGAATAACTATGAGAAATATGTTAAGTATTCTAGAGAAAAGATTAGCAACATAAGGGAAGAGGAGAGAAATGAAAACTAAGGAAAAGAACCAAATGGAGTTCATAGGAATGAAAAATAGATAATATAAAACTTGAAGAATTTATTTGATCTGGGCACAAATGAGGAAAGATTCAGTGAACTTAAATTGATGTCAATAGAACTTATCAGATCTGAAATCTGTGAATATAGACACCAAAATCCTTAACAAAATATTAGAAAATCAAATCAAACAGCACACAAAAATAATAATACACTGTGACCAGAGTTTTATCTTAGAAATGCTTTTTGTTGAGCACTAAAATATTTACCCATTTAATTCACCGTAGTAAGAAGAAAATATAAAATAACCTCAATAGAATCAAAACAGACATCTGATCATATCCAGCACTCATTTTAGTAAGATCTTTCAGAAAATGAGAAATAAAAGGAAACTTCTTCAGTCTGATTTAGGGCATGGAAATGGAAAACCTACAGCCAACATCTCACTTGATGAAACATTCGTCACTTCTCGTTTGAGACTGAGAATAATGGAAAGATGTCAACTCTGATCACTAGGCTATAAAGTAATGCTGTTATAGACATTGGAACCAAGGTTCTTACCTAGTGAGCTGAGGCATTCTTGCCCAGAGATGCATTGTCCTCTACTTGTCCCCCCTTCTCAGGAATTTGAGGATAAATATAACTGTAGGAATAGTCCCAATCTTTGTATCCTTCAAGATCTCAGGAAGTTGTTCATTTTATTAATTTAGAGTCCACTATGTGTCAGAAACTGTGCTAGGTGATGTTCTTACAGTTGTCCTAAAGAACAAACAGACAAGTGGAGGGGGCAAAATAATAAACAGGCGTTTATAACAGAGGTTGATGCATTCTACTATAGAAATAAGCACAGGCTACCACCAGCACAAAGAGGGACATATCACCTATTCTGGGAAGGAGGGGACAGGAAGCAATAGGGAAATCTTCCAGGAGCAG